TCATAAAAACATGCTAAAATGGCTTAAAAATGCAGTAAATGTGCTTAATTTACACACTATTACAAGTTTGATACAAGCTTGTCACTTAAATTATTTACATATTAAATTTTTTGTTCTTTTTGAATGTTTAGAGGTCTCAAAACACATATTTTCAATATTTTATCATTTCAGCCACTATAACAGACTTTTAAAGGTCACCTACCAAATTGAACCACTAGATTTCAGCAAAAGGCCAATTATTTATTATTCATAACATTTGCATACCTTTGTTTTTTGAGTTTAAAGTCAGGGAAATTGCATTTAGAATCATTCTGAATCACATTTTGACATGATGTAAACAATGTTATGCATTAAACATCTTATTTAGTCCCAGTTAACCTCTTCATAATAATTCTAATAGGTAAAACTGGTTCTATAATTAAACACCTTGTTTTAAAACATGTGTAAAGAAAATCACAACTGTGGCAACTAGATGGCAGTAACAGAGCACTTATTGTTTATTTTACTGCTCTATGGCAAAGAATGTAATGTAATGTAATGTTATGTAATGCATTCTGAATCCCAAATTGACATGGCCTGAACACAGTTTATGCATTTAAGATCAAATTTAGTCAAAGCTTGTCATACTTTTTACTCTGTAGATTTTTAATTATTTTAATAAAATACAAATTTTCATTTTATATAGTTAGAACATGCTCAATCATAGAGGGGATATGTTTATGCACACCTAAATGGCTGTAATCACATAAATAAATTACACCGTGGCCACTAGATGGCAGTAGGAGATCACTAATAGCTTATTCACTGCTCTTTTGTCATTTTTATTAAGAAGAGCTAAAATAGCCATAACTCATGAATGAATTAAAATATCTTCACCAAACTTGTTACACATATGAAAGAGGTCAGTCTAAGGTCATAGCACGAAACTCATAGACATTGGCCACATGATGGCGCTATACATTGTAAAATCACTGTATCTGAGTAACCATTTATCTGATTAAATTAAATTTTGACATGCGGTGTCTTTGTCTAAGGTGCCATGACTCGATCTACACATTATATCATAGGGCTGCCTATACTGGTCACTCTGACATAAAAGCGGTCACTCGAAATGTTCATTAAAAATTTGTCAATATGTAAAAATCGAAGTTGCTTCTCTGGAGTGTTTAATCAAACATTTGTTAGCTCAATCTATAAACTTTAACACTCTAATCGTATATTTCGTTTTCGAATAAACTACTTACAGGCGTCATAACTGCTATATGACCTTACCCTGCTAAACTGCTTGACCCCCGTTAATTGCTGCTTGCAGCTATATTTATTATTATTATTATTATTATTCTGCCGAAGTCACTATTGCCCAGACCAAACCGTAAGGCCGAGAGAGCTGAAACTTGGCCAGATCGTAGTACCCCGGTACACTACATTCTCACCAAAGATCAGCCAAATCGGACCATAGGTGGCGCTATGGCGCCAAAAACCCACTTTTTGGACATTTTTGCCCGCTATACGTTCACCGTTTGTCGTAGACTCAAAAACTTTACATTTTTCTAATCCTTGGGTTAGCCCCAACAAAAGTGCACAGCTGAACTTTTTGCTCTACGACGCACCGTTTTCCCGCTACATCGCGATTTGTCCGAAACCTACTTTTGCGAACTAGTCCTAGGTTTTACACTCAATCTAAACCAAACCAGCTCTCAAATGTTCTCTGGACACTGAATATCAATAATTATCAAAAAAAAGTTGAAATTTTTATTCTCACTCGAAACGGTACACAACAATGTTCAATGCTAATTGAAGCTAAATGCTAATTGGAGCTATAACTTTTGAACGAAATGACATGTCATCACTAAACTTGGTACACACATGTATAAGCTCAATTTGAGGTGACACTGCAAAACCCGCAGACTTTGGCCACATGGTGGCGCTATAAAGCTAAAAAAACATAAAAATGACTCTAACCTTACAGCCATTTGTCCAATAAGCTTAAAATTTGGTATGCAGTGTCTTTGACCAAGTTGTCATAACATACTATAAGGACATTGGCATATCTCAAAAAACATGGCCGCCATTGGCCAATGAAAATTGAGCAGCCATTTAACAAGGTTAACGATGAGTGATCAAAACGAAACTCGCTGGGCATGTTCGACTCATGGTCCTAGAGGTCTGTAAGAATTTTGAAAGAAATCGGCCACTAGGGGGCGATTTTACGTATTTTTAGTGTGTAATGGGTTGTGTATCACACAACCTTTTGCGCAACCACACAAAATACATATCATATGATAGGCCTGCTCATACCGAACAGTTTGACACTCAAACCACTGCTGTCACTTACACCGTTCGGTAAATATTTATCAATATAGGAAAAACCTACTTTTGCGAACTAGTCCCTGGTTTTTCACTCAATTGCGACGAAACCAGTGTTGTTAGAATCTCTGGACTGTGTAAATCAATAATTATCAAAAAAAAGTTGAACTTTTCACTTTGCCTAGCTGTAACAGGCTAATTTACAAAAGGGGCGTGTCCACACGAGCCTATATGCCTGTAAACCAATAAGGAAAGCCCAAAACATCACAGAAATTGGTGAGCACATGTGCCATATCAATGTGAAGAAACATGCAAAATTTTGTGAGCATTAAACCATAGGTGGCGCTATAATGACAAAAATTGTCTTTAAAACATGCTAAATGGCTTACAAATGCAGTAAATGTGGTTTATTTACACACTATTTCACAAAAAACACTTATTCTACATATCATATGATAGGTCTGCTCATACTGAACAGTTTGAGACTAAAACCACTGCTGTCACTCACACCGTTCATTAAAAAACCATCAATATAAACAAAACCTACTTTTGCGAACTAGTACCTGGTTTTTAACTCAATCGCAATGAAACCAGTGTTGTATGATCCTCTGGACTGAGTAGATCAATAATTATCAAAAAAAAGTTGAACTTTCCATTTTAGATAGCTGTAACTGGCTCATTAACAATAGGGGCGTGTCTACACAAACCTACATGCCTGTAAACCAATAAGGAAAACAGAAAACATCACAGAAATTGGTGAGCAGATGTGGCATATCAATGTGAATAAACATGCAAAATTTTGTGGAGATCGGGCTATAGGTGGCGCTATAATAGTGGAAATGGTTCTAAAAACATGCTAAAATGGCTTAAAAATGCAGTAAATGTGCTTCATTTACACACTTATCACTGAAATGATTTATAAGTTATTTTTTTGTCCATCTTGGATGTTTAAAGGTCTCAAAAACACATATTTTCAATATTCTATCATTTTAGCCACTATAACACAGACTTTTAACTGTCACCTACCATTTCTAACCACTAGATGTCACAACAAGACCACTAATTTATTGTTCATAACATTTGCATACATTTTTTTTTTTTTTTTTTTTACATTTTTTGAGTTTAAAGTCAGGCAAATTGCATTTAGGATCATTCTGAATCATATTTTGACCTGATGTAAACACTGTTATGCATTAAACATCTAATTTGGTCCCAGTTAACCTCTTCATAATAATTCTAATAGGTAAAACTGGTTCTATAATTAAACACATTGTTTTAAAACATATGTAAAGAAAATCACAACTGTGGCTTCTAGATGGCAGTAACAGACCACTTATTGTTTATTTAGCTGCTCTATAGCAAAGAATGTAATGTAATGTTATGTAATGCATTCTGAATCCCAAACTGACAAGGCATGAACACAGTTAATGCATTTAAGATGAAATTTAGTTAAAGCTTTTCACAAATTTTACTCTGTAGATTTATAATTATTTTAATATAATACAAATTTTTCTTTTTATATAGTTAGAACATGCTCAATTATAGAAGGGATATGTTTATGCACACCTAAATGGCTGTAATCACATAAATAAATTACACTGTGGCCACTAGATGGCAGTAGGAGATCACTAATAGCTTATTCACTGCTCTTTTGTCATTTTTATTAAGAAGAGCTAAAATAGCCATAACTCATAAATGAATTAAAATATCTTCACCAAACTTGTTACACATATGCAAGAGGTCAGTCTAAGGTCATAGCATAAAACTCGTAGACATTGGCCACATGATGGCGCTATACATTGTAAAATCACTGTATCTGAGTAACCATTTATTAGATTAACTTAAAATTTGACATGTCGTGTCTTTGTCTAAGGTGCCATGAGTCGATCTACACATTATATCTTAGGGCTGCTTATACTGGTCACTTTGACATAAAAGCGGTCACTCGAAATGTTCATTAAAAATTTGTCAATATGTAAAAATCGAAGCTGCTTCTCTGGAGTGTTTAATCAAACATTTGTTAGCTCAATCTATAAACTTTAACACTCTAATCGTATATTTCGTTGTCGAATAAACTACTTACAGGCGTCCTAACTGCTATATGACCTTACCCTGCTAAACTGCTTGACCCCCGTTAATTGCTGCTCGCAGCTATATTTATTATTATTATTATTATCATTATTATTATCGTCATCATTATCATCATCATTATTATTATCATCATCATTATTATTATTATTATTATTATCATTATCATGGAGTTTAAAAGGTATTTTCTAGATACTAGAAAGTCAGGGAATTTAAGTTATTATTATTATTTTTATTATTACTATTATTATGATTATTTTTATCTATATTAAATGCATCTTTTTATATAAAAAAGCACTTAAAATCATAAGTGTAGCAGTATATAAATGCTAAAATTGTAAAAAACTAAATATACATGTCTTAATATTTTGTTATTTGCTATTGTTTTATGCAGTATTCTAGTTTTGTGCATTAATTTAATTCACATGTTTAGATGAAAACCGAGCTATCAATCCTCATTTCAAATCAGCCAAGATGAAACCAAAAAAGTAAAGAGAAATCCTCCGATATTTATATTAGTTTTATTGATCAAGCCGTATTCTGCTTTCCTCTTTGGTGAACATCACACACTCCTCATGACCAGTGTTTCTCTGCTTTATCTTCAGGTACGCACATGTTCGTGTTTGCGGATCTGCCTGATCTGGCGGTGGGTTTGATCCTGCTGGCTCTGTCTCTGCTGGCTCTCTGCACATGCCTGATCCTCATAGTTAAACTGCTGAACTCCATGCTGAAGGGTCAGGTGGCCGTCGTCATCAAAAAAGTGCTCAACACAGGTGAGGCGGCCTCAGGGTAATCACCAGACTATACTCTCCACTGTTCTGTTCAGATTGACTACCCTTTGCTTATGTTGGTGGCTGTTTTTGCCCCATTGATAATCGCATGCATGATTATATGCTGTCAAGGCTTTGCAAATAAAATATGTGATTATAATAGAAGTCAAAGGAGCAAAAACAACCACCAACATAATGAAAAGGGAGTCAATTTGCCCAAAGTATATAGTTTTAAAAAAATTCCAAAGCATTTTCCCAAAATATTAGTCGAAATTAGATTTGTCACCAGAAATCCTCCCATTTACTGAAACACAGAGAAAATTGTGGCTTAATTAAGACTCGAGTCGATGAAAACATCTATAAGATAGCATGCATGCAAGTTAACTGATATTAATAACCCACACACACACATTCACTCCCCCAGGTGTGCGTCAACACTGAACCTTTGCACTCTGACACACAAACACACTTTTGTCCCTCCATTTAAAAACACACTTGTGTAATAATTCTTCTTTCCCGGAGCTCGGTCTTATCACTGTCCTGCGTTTGAGATTGTGTTGGAGTGTGTCCTGTCATATGATAGTCAGCGCAGGTGCTGCAGTCCTGCTGTCTGATGAGCTGAACAGGAACAGTAAATGACCTGAGTGTGTCTGAGAGCCGCAGGGTTGTTTATGTGCAGGTGCTGCTGGTTTCAGACATCACTCGGGTACATGCTTACTAAGAACTCCTCCAATCCGCCTACTGTTCCTGCATCGTTGCATTCAAACTCCTAACAAAGCCCTTGCTACAGTCACGATACATTCTAGGAATATTAGTCCAACTTTTTATTTTTTTTAAGGCTTTAAAGTGGACATGAACTGCTTTAATTTTGCAGTGTTCTGTGAAGTCTGCTTATAAAAGTGAACGTATGTCAGAATAAGTTTAGATGCGTTTATACATTTTTTATTGATTATGGCTCATCATGATTTTAAAGTGGTTCAGTTCCGTATTTAAGCAAAATGTTTTCTTCGAGTGTACTTGGCACTATATATATATATATATATATATATATATATATATATATATATATATATAGAGAATTTTAATTTTATATATATATATATATATATATATATATATATATATATATATATATATATATATATATATATATATATATAATATTATTATTATTATTATTATTATTATTATATTTTTATTTTATTTATTTTTTTATTCTTTCTAAATAGAAATATTCAAGTCTGGCTGAATTATAAGTTTAGCTGGATGAAACAATTTTGTAGTGGAAGTCCATCTAAAATTTAAAACTAACCTAGACCATTGCTGTGGTTTAAAAGTTAGCAGTAAACACTTACCTAGAGCGTTGTTTGCTGTTAAACTCTAGGCTAAAGATAAACGGTAGACAGTGCTCATAGCCAGAGCACCATCTGCCTTGGGCGCCGTCCGCTGTCGAACGCCGGCCTTAAGCGCCGTCCACTGTCTAGCGGCGGCCTAGAGCGTCGACCGGCGGCCTAGAGTGCCGTTCGCTGTCGAACGAAGGCCTAGAGCGCCGAACGAAGGTCAAGAGTGCCGAACGAAGGCCTAGAGCGCCGTCCGCTGTCGAACGCCGGTGCTGTGGCACGCCGTCTGCTGTCTAGCGCCGGCCTAGAGTGCCGTCAGCTGTCGAGCGCTGGCCTAGAGCGCGAGGGAATAATGCATTTTGAAAATGGCAGAATCGATGTCTCTGACTTTATCACAGCTCTACTCATCTAATCTAGAACTCCACATATAAACCCTCACGATTTAGGGTTTATTTTCTGTTTTGAACCCTCATCTGAACACCGATAGGAGTGACAGCTTGTGGACTGTACTGGTTTGATTGGCTTGCAGTTTTACATACTGAAATGTTTTGAGGAATGGGAAGCCCACTAATGTAAACTCTTGCATGTGTGTTTGACCTCCTTAAGCTTGTACATTTGACCAACATCTCTTTATACCTCTTGTCAGATTTCCCCTTCCCCTTCGCCTGGGTTACAGGATACCTGGCCATCCTCGTGGGAGCCGGAATGACCTTCATTGTTCAGAGCAGCTCCGTCTTCACCTCCGCCATCACTCCTCTAGTCGGTCAGTAGACAAACCCGTTAAACCAACATGCCTGATTTAACCGGCCACAATGTTGACACGCCCATAACATTGCAGTTTATAAAGGGTTTGTTCACCCAAAAATTAAAGCTGTTGATTTCTCACCTTTATACCGATCAAATTCCCCAAGACCTTCATTCATCTTCTGATTCATCTTTAAAGATTATCTTTGAGGTATTGAGAAAAACACTTCAGCAGCAGTTACTGCTGTTTGCCCAGACTCTATTGACTTCCACTTTGGGAGCCCAGAATAGTGAAGGATCCATTGGGCATATAGTTTAAGTCCACATGATTACAAGTGCAATCTATTGTTTTGTTGTTAATGACACGCACAGATGACTTGTTTACTACGAAACTACCAGTGTGAGCTAACAAAATCAATATGGCTAGGTTTGATTTCATTTGTACTTAGGAATGTGTCATGATCCTCTGTACATCATCTTCCTCTTTAGGTATTGGTGTGATCAGTTTGGAGAGAGCATATCCACTCACACTGGGCTCCAACATCGGCACAACCACCACTGCTATACTGGCGGCCATGGCCAGTCCTGGAGAAACACTGGCCAACTCGCTACAGGTGCGGCATTGCTCTCTATTTCGCCTGTTGTACTGTACTACAGTTGCTGTTAAAGGCTCAACATGTAAAAATATGTTATTATTAAATTACACATTTTGTTCAGTCCAACTTGCAACATCCCAAATGTTTTCCAATTAATCGCACATGGAAAAAGCACTGAATTTATTTATTTTTAAACCAGACCATGTGCAGTTTTGCATTCATCTTCATTACTCTGGGTTTCAATTGTCATCAAGATGGAAACCAAGACAACACAGTATGGTGGACACACACCTGAAGTACCCACAGTACACTGTAAACGTTATGAGCTCTATTTTGACGGTCCATGCGCAAATCGCAGGGCGCAAACGCTTTTAGGGCATGTCACAATCCATATTTGCAAATTTAATGACGGGAATATCCGCTTTGCGCCGTGTTGCATGGTCTAAAAGGGTTGAGTTTATTTTCTTAATGAGTTATAGGTGTGTTTTGAGAATAAACCAATCTCATCTCCCATTCCCTTTAAGAGCCAGCTGCGTCGCACCATAAGTGCATTTGCTATTTACAGGACGTAAAGTAAGTTCCCTTTTGCTTTCGCTCTCGTGGATAGGGAAACCTTTACGCACAGACATCAATTAGCCTATAAATAATTAATTTCGTTTAAGCGCAAAGATTTGTTTCAAAACTATTTCTAAATTCAGTTCTAATTTCCAGCAAACGAATAAATGAACAATTTAACGAAGTGTGCTCAAAATACTGAGTTATTTCCAAATACATCTGCTGTGCCCCATATGGTCTAAAACCTGACAGGTGGACAAATCTAAGCTTGTTTTTAATGAAACAAATATAAATATGAATAAAATAAATAATACTGCTAATAATAATAACATTTATACAAAAGCAAAATTGAGCTGAAAAAGCCTCCCGAGATGAAAGTATGAAGGCGGTGGTTTTTAAACTCATGTAGGCTAGAAATTAATGTTTTGTAATATTTTAATCATTTATATTCATATCCTATATATATATCCTTATTATATTATATCTTTTTCATATGTAAAGATATTTGCACATTGCTCTGCATCTTGTGTGTAAGCCAGGTGCACTTTGCGCCAGACAATAGACCGACTTTGTTCTGGTCTAAAGAACAGACTATTTACAGTTTCTCAAAATAGCAACGCGCCAAAACACGCCTGCTTTTTTTTAGAGCAGATTGCCTATGGGCGCACATATGAGCGCAAATGCATTTGCTATTTAAACAGCTTGGCGCAACACCTCAAAATGACCCCTGCACCGAGGTGAAAGTAGCCAATAGCAATTGCGTTGCGTCTTGCGCCAGACTGCCCTATAGGGCCCTATAACTTTTTTGATCTGTCATTTTTAAATTTTTTTTCAACATTGCTGGTATCCTGCAGTAAATATACAATAACAATGTCACTTTTATAACAGTAACGCATTACACTATTATATTATACCTAAATATTTATAAACTTTAAATGTAAACTTGCGCATAAACTTAAGCAGCTATGTTTTCCCATGCTAACCGTCACATATTTGCTATAACTATGCATGAGCTGATTAAGTTCAGTTTTTAAGATATTGCCACAGTCACTCGTAATATCTGTGCTCTATTGATAATGCCTTTTTATGGTTACGGTGCGCGCGCTTATCTCTTAATCTTCTCAAAGTTGATTGACCTAACTCAGATCAGCTTTTCTGAAACCCAAAACTCTGAGTTGATTTAACGAGAGATTAAAAACTCTGAGTTCAAGATTAAACTCCGAGTTGGTTGAACCTCTTTACTGAAACAGGCCCCCGCTGCACTGCTGTCCACTGTGTCTGCATTCAGCCTTGGGGATTGAGGAGGAGAGTTCCTCCATGTTTATATAAACACTATAAATGAGATTATCTTTATAATGATACGACAAAATGTGGTTGTGTATATAAAACTGTGAATAACATGTGTAGCAGGGCATTAAATTACTGTTTATTTCTTTGCATTTTAACTTTGTAAACTAATAAAATCATGCGTCTCAGTTTGTGAGCACACTAACAGTTGTTCGCTCTTCTCGTACTGTGCATTCACACGGGGCTCCAGCGTCAACGCTTGACAGAGGGCGTGTCTGAAGTTAGGACTGACACAATCATCATAGCAGTGTCAGCCAATGAAATTAGTCCAAACTATCTGAGCTGGTGTATTTGCATACAGTGATCTGATTGGCTGACTCTTCCCTTGGCGCTTGAAAAGTGGAGAGTCCCAACTTTCAAAAGGGCTTTCATTCATTATAACTAATATTGCAGCTCATGAAACGTTATTTCTATTAGGATGATGTATGCAAATAAGCTATTATGTCAATATCCGTGCACCCGTGAGAACAGCAAAGTTATTGTTAACTAAGTTTCATTCATGTCGAGCAGCGCGTGCAGGGCCGGTGGGCGTGTGCAGATGTCGTTTTGTTTGTTTGTTAGATTGTTTAGTGTTGATTTTTCAAACGCTATTTTGAAAAATTTTTTGTTCCGTTAATACAACATTAAAACTTGTAGTAACGGTGCTTATTATTGGTCGGTGCAACTAAATTTTGGCTGTTGCTCCTGACTTTTTAAAGTTGGGAGCACAGTGCTACCAAGCAAAAAGGTTCATTTCGAGCCCTGTATATTGGTGTTGGATTGTCTCCAGAACAAACCACTGTTATACAATGACTTGCCTAATTACCCTAACTTTACCCCAATTACCCTGCCGAAAAATCCTAAGCTAGTTTTAGCTGGTTGACCAGCCTGGAAGTGGCCAAAACCTCTCTAAAACCAGCCTGGTCGACCAGCTAAATCCAGCCAATCAGCCTAGGCTGGTTTAAGCTGTTTTTTTCGGTAGGGTACCCTAGTGAACCCTTTAAATGTCACTTTAAGCTGAACACTAGTGTCTTGAAGAATATCTAGTCTAATATTAGGTGCTGTCATCATGGA